AGAACTTCAAAAGTATCTGGAGAATGGGATGGTGAACATGGCTTATGTATAGCTGCGAGGAGCTAAATTCCAATTCTTCAGTCATTTTTGTCCAAAGTGCATGACCAGCTATGGTGTTATCAGAAATGGCTCTCTCATAGGGGACAGGGATGCCAAAATATTCGGCAAACTCAAGTTTTGTTATTGAATATTCTTGGTTGAACAGACGAAACGTGAGTTTGTCATCCCTAAAATCATCTTCATTGCTCTCAAAATGAGCCGAACTCATAAACTCATAGATAATTTTTTCATTGGAGTTGTATTTCATATTGAAGATTAGGTCCATATCAAACTCATGAAAAAATTTCCTAGTGCTCTTAAAAATCTCCAATTCACGAAGATCTTCATGGCAAAGAAAACGGGATGGTTTAACTTGCCTTGCTATTGTGGAGAGGAGTCTAGCCCGGTGTTCGCTGTCGGCGGGTTGGATGTCCTCGAAGCCCGGAATGGGTGCCATTGCATTGGATCTCTCTCCCCTGTTCTTCTTTGGAGCCATTTTTGTTGATTTTGAGCTTGAAAATCTGAAATTTGAAAATGGGGGTTGGGTTTTCGGACTTTTGGGAATTTGGGGGAAAGTGGGATTTGTGAGTATGGTTGTGTAGAGGAGAGTGAGGGGAGTATTTTGGTGGTGGAATGAAGTGATTTGGTGGAGAAATGTGGGAGATATGGTAGAAAGAAGGTAGAAAATGGAGTTTGGGGAGAGGGTTGGCCGATTTTGGGTTTTGTGTAACCTATGAACTATATGTTCATAATGAGTTGTGTAATCTAAGAACTACATGTTCATAATGAAATGTGAGTAATCTATGAATTACATGTTCATAATGATATGAGAGTAATCTATGAACTATTCGTTCATAATGGCATCCTGGGTAATCTATGAACCTTATGTTCATAATGATAAGTGAAGTAATCTATGAACCCTAAGTTCATAATGAGATTTTGAGTAATCTATGAACTACAAGTTCATAATGATCTTTAGAGTAGAGTAATCTATGAGCAACATTTTCATAATGATAGGATCGATAGACAATTGGGGTATTCATGTAATTTGGATAATATTTTGAATTGAAAAGTAAATGGTTTTGGAGAACTAATTGTGGATAAGTACTTCTTGGAATATGAAATCTATATGAATAAGTAAAGCTATTTTGGGGAAGTTGATATGTTGAAAGTTAAATTGTGGAGAGTGTTGTTTCTTCTTTAGGGATATGTGAGTAAATAAAGTTTATAGTTATTGATGTTGAATCTCAAAGGTTGTTTTGAATGATAAATGCAATTTTAAACTTGAAAATTGTATTTTGAGAACTAAATGGATTTTTGAATCTACACGTCAAGTATCAAATCTATTTTCTTCAAACTATATTATTTTATGGGGTTGGGTGAGTCTTAATTTAGCTAAAAAGCTAATTTTTGTTCCTTTGTCTTTGTTTTGTTTTCTACACTTTATTTGGTGCAGGTGATGTGGATCATGCTTGTTGCTGAGAGTAGCGTTAGATCACGTAGTTTGGTAATTATAATCACCTAGTAATCATTTATTTGAGTTTTGGGACATGTAAACAATTCAATTGTTTTTGAGATTTCAGTACATAAATACTTGGACATATTTTTGGATTGTGGTTTAGCCTGTGCATCGGTTATGTGAGAACCGAGTGTGAAATTAACACCCATTTGATACTTTACTTCCACTGCAATTTAAACTCTCAGGACCGGTCCAGGGCAAGTGCCGGATGTGCAATGGCACAGGGCCCATAAATATTGAAGGCTCAAAAAAATTAAAAAGTTAGTAGTAGTACTAGGTATAATCTAAGTCCAAGAAAAATAGAAGCCCCCTTATTTCCAACGCACGTGTTCAAGCTACAAGCAGTCAAGAACCATCCGTCCATTACCTGGCCTCTCATTATCTCAACTCTCTGCAAGCGAAGAAACAGAGACGGAGACCGGCGAGGAACACCGACCACCGTCTAGGGCTGTGACTGCACCACACCTCGGTGCCTCCGGTCTACTTCTTCGCCTTAGTCGCTCAGTCCCTCAACATGCCACAATTCGTCAATCTTTAAATTATAATGATTGATTTTCTTAACTGGTTAGGATTATTGTTTATTAATCTTCTTGATTATTGTGTGATATATTGTGATTTTATTGCTGATTCTAATTATGTATAATTATTAGGGCCATTATTCCATTATGTCTACTAATTTTTGATGAAATTTCATAGTTTAGGTTGTTATTTCTGATTTTCTCTAGCCAATTGACCAAGTAATTAAACTAATTTTTTTTTATTATATTTAGCAAGTTGGTATAATATGTTACTCGTATTACTTACTACTCTAGTAATTTAAATTCTTGAACCAATTGGTACTACCTCCGTCCCGTCCCGTTGGGATGTTCCGGCTTTCCCTTTTTAGCAGTCCCAAAAAGAAGTTCTCATTTTCCTAAATGGAAAGTTATCCTACATCCAAACCGTGCAAAACAGTGTAAAACAGTGCCAAACAGTGTCCAAACAATGCCAAACAGTGTCAAAACAGTAAAATTTACCCCCTGACAAGTTTATTTCCTTAATATGTGTGTAGGTCAAACCGGGAACATTCCAATGGGACGGAGGGAGTATTACTTAATTTTACATGAATAGTGGAGGAATTCTGGCAACTTGGAAGTAATTATGTGTCAAAAAAAATGGGTCCATAGAATGTCCCTTTTAAAATGAAACATATTTTATTAATGCATACGTTTCTTTTACTATTTTATTCATTAACTTGTATTTTAAAATAAATAATCAGTAATATGATAAAAAAAAATGAGTCTCACTATAATCATCCTTATATATGTTCTATTTTTACTTATATCAGAAAAGAAGACCCATTTTTTTTATTACACAGGGCCTTCATATTCTCAGGACCGGCCCTGTAAACTCTTTTGAACTTGAATGTTTTTGGGAAAAGTGGAAAACTGTCTTTATACTTGTTGTTTCAGTACATATTTTTGGGTTGAATTTGGGATGTTACAAAATGGTATTAGAGCTTTGTTGTACAAAATCTTTTAAAGGTTTTCCAAAACTATTTGAATTGACTAAATAATTTTAACTAGAACTAAAGAATCTGATTAGGAATTAAGTTTGAGGCCTAGGTGCGTGTGATAATGTGGGATGCTTGTTTGTTGTAATTCTTGTTGTTTTGAAATGATTTTTAGACTTGTTGATTGGATAGAACTTTTCCCATGGTTGACTCCTAGGTATCTACTATCCTAGGATATCGTGCGAGTTGTTGAACTTTGAGAATTGATATGAGTATATTCCTAGTATTCTAAACCTTGTAATATATTAGATGAAAGTTAGTGGATTGTTTTAAAAATTTCTAGTATTATGAACTTCAATTCGTGTGTCTCTATTGTAAGACTTATGGCTTTGCCTTGGTATTCTAAATCTCGAGCTCCCTTGGTAAGGAAATTCTTTCAGCGTGTCATCTTGACTTTATTTTGACTTGAGCTTCGGGGACGAAGCGTCCTTTAAGGGGAGTGGGGGAGAATGTAATACCCCGAAAATTTGATAGAATTTTGGAAATAATTAAAATTGTGTTTCGTATCGTCTAGACGGTCTTTAGATAGTCTATTATGTTTGGTATAGTGTTTGGGACAAAGGGGAGGTCCAAGCGGGGAAGAAACGGAGCAAATTTTACACTTTGGTGCGTCTGGGGTCGCGCACAATGCGCGCAGGGATATGCACGGCATGCGTGGCAAGAATATCAAGCAGAAGAGCTATTGCAAGCCACACACGGCAGGCGTCCTTAATTTAAGCCTAGTTCGACCCAAACCTCGGAAATTCACTATAAATACATCCCTAATCCGATTTTCCTCATTCCAAAAACCTGCTGGAGTGTTCTTCATTCTACAGAAATCTAATCAAATACCAAAACCTGTTGAAAATACATTGTATGTACATGAAAATGGCCTTTGCATTATGACGATCGTTGTGTAGTAGTTCTTAGTAGTTTTCAGGCTTGAAATACTGATGATCGAATGTCTTCTCTAATTTGTTCATCAAATACATAGATGCAAGAGCGATGAAGATGATCGATCAATACATCGTCTGCTCTGATACAAGATGTTAGATCCCATAAATCAGATACTAACAGATGTGGATGCACTCACACAATGAGTAGTGAAACAAGGAGGATTCCATTGATAATGATATTGAAAGTTTCACAAAGGAAATCTCTCTACTTCTCAATAGGAATACACTCAGGTGAAATTGCTCTCTGTGGCTGTCGCTCAGTATTCTTACATATGCACAAATACCTAATACGGTACACTTATATAGTAGTACTAGATATTTGTGTCTTACATCTAGTCTATTATGGGCCCAAACATGTAGGGCCTTGTTACCTATTGTAAATGCTAAGATTCTAATAGGCCTATAAATGAAAATACAATTATTACAAAGAAAATAAAGATAAATTGATCAAAACAATAACATATATTATAACACTTTTTGATTAACATGACAAAGAATTAGAAGAAACTTATTCGTCGCGGTTGTTTCGCTGTCAAACAGAGATTGTTATCATCTATATTGGACTAAAAAGGAAATCAACGCAAATTATAGGGATGAAAAACAAAAAATAGTTTTGTAAGAACGTAAAATAAGATGTACTATATTTACAAGAACTAAAAACATGTTTAAACCTTTTTAGAATATTGGAATTTTAATATTGGTCGGACCGTGTGACATAGAAGAGGTAGTAAAGATAGGGAAACAAATAATAAATAATAGAAGATGGGAGTACTTGGTATTGAAAATAAATACTCCCTCCATTCTATTTTACCTGTCCTACTTTCCTTTTTGGGTTGTCCCAAAATAAGTGTCTCATTTCTTTTTTCTTGAAAGAAATATGTGGCATACACCATTTCACTTTATTATACTCAAACCTCAACCACAACTTTTACTTTTTAATCACTTCATTAATAATCGTGCTAAGTCAAATTAAGACACATAAAATGGAACGGAGATAGTAAAACTATGAATCTTTAATGTCCAAAGGGGTCTGAGGTAATATCATTGTCAGTCACAAGACCACTGACAAGGCAAACGAAAAAAGAATATGTAGCGGTAAAACACGGTAGCAAACCACAACAAAGCATGGCATATATTAGTCTGTGACGCATACGCTGATGAGACACTCCCCCTTCCGATTGAGATATGTGAGTCCATTGTGTCACTTTGACGAGAAGAAACACTCCTCCAATACATACACCCCTGCACCCACACATATATAGATAGGACACAAGTTAAATTTTACTCAATCAACTTCATCAAAACGTAAAATAAATACCCTCCCCTTCTCACATTTTGTCAAGAAAATATGAACTTTTCTAAATTAAACTCCATCAACTTCTTACTTCTTCATTTTTATCTCTTTTTCTATCATTTCATTGTGTAATTTTTATGGACTGAACATACTCTTTCTTACTTTTTGAAGATTAGAAAAACAACAACTTTATCCTTTAGTTTCTTAAAACCCGCACCAAACATACATATATCTTACATCTTACATTACATTATGGGACATAAGTAGTACTAGATATCTCAAAGTGGTTCAAGTGGACGACTCGCACACTTGATCCTCTATATGTGGGAGGCCTTAAATTTAAGTCATTAAAGAGGTGAATTTGAGATAACGTTCTCAAATGATGATCCTCTGGTACAAGGAGCTAGCATAGGTGGTCGCACAATCATTGCTTCGTCTTGTCTCAAGGAGTAGTGTGAGAGTTAATCTAAAGAAAAAGAAAAAGTATTGCAATTTCAAGATTGGTGTTAGCCCCATCAAATATAAACCTTCCTATCAAAGATGGAGAACAATTTTCGATCCCCTACAGATAACAGTGCTGTAACAAGATTGTTTTATTTTTCAAAATTAGTATCCTAAATTGATAAATTAAAACCTAACCGTTTAATACATAAAAAAATTAAGCACCAGAAATCAAGTGAAGTACATTAATCATTACAAAAAGTAGGGGTGGGCACGCCGGCACGGTCCGGCCCGATCCAATATTTGGCCGAACCTGTACCCGTACCGTTACTATTGAAACGATTCAGTTCGGTCTTAGACCTAAACCCGTTCGGTACGGTCCATTTTCAAACGGGACCGTAACATGCCATACTAATACCAAATAATGTCACTTTTCCAAGTGTTTAGGGAAAAATTAAAGTTTAAACATCCTCCAAAAATCCACACAATTAAACAATTTTCATATTTCATACTACCTCTGTTCCAAAATGATTTGCAAGGTCAACCTTTTTTTTTGTAAAATGGTTTCTTTTTATTCATTTAATTAGGATTTCACTTTTAATTATATTCTAATTTGGCCTTTCAGAAGTAAGTACTTCGCATATTCCAATTTGAATTTTGCAACTTTAAAGTTATTTTAATATGGTTTCTAAATATGTAGATTTTAATTATTAAAAATTGTACGGAGTATTAATTATCATTAGGGAGGATTTAACATTAACATTGACCAAAATGTTGACTTTGCAAATCAATTTGGGGGACAGGTGAGGTAATTAATAAATTTTAGATAAACTATAATAGTACAAATTTAAATAATTTAACCATACTTCAGTCCGGTTCGGTCCGGTACCGGTTCTCATTTTATGAGAACCCGTCATGGCATACACCGGTACAGTCTGGTTCGGGGCAAAAAAAATTTGAGATCCGTTTCAAATCTCGTTTATTGGTCCGGCACCATGCCGGTCCGGTTCGGTAGCATGCCGGTCCGGTATTTTTGTCCACCCCTAACAAAAAGCTAGAAATCATTTGAGCATAAATATCCAGAAATTAAATTAGATATGCGCGTTAAAGATTTATGAGCTCTCTTGTCAGATCAACATCAAATATGAAGTCTTTTTCTAATAATAAGTCGAATTTAGTTTTCTTTATTGCTGGTCTGGTCTGGTCCAAATTAGTTTTCTTTATTTTGAAATACTTAGTAATATTCACATAATGCACAATTCTCATATCTAACGCTCCAGATTATTAGTTCTCATTTCTCTCCTTAGATCACGTTGTCATTTGAACCAAAATCCAATCTATTAAAATATACTCCGTATAAGTTAATTGTGCGGGTCAGGTAATTGTGCATGTAACAGAATCTGAAATAAATAGGGCAGTTACATAGCGGGTAACAAGTGGTTAACCAATACATCACCCATTTACATAAATCGGTTATTGCCTGTCCAAATCCATTACCCAGTTAATGTGATTTTCCACGTTTGACCGGCTTAGTACTGTACAGTTATCCGTCTGTTTTTGGATTAAATTTCCATCCCTAGAGGGAGGGGAGGTAAAAATGTTTCTGATTCAATTAGAAAATGGAGAAGAGAGGCGTGGTGGTGGAATTTTCAAAAAGATCGAACGCGGATGAAGGTAGAGAAAGATATTAGTAGGGGGGAGAACGACTTGGAAATAAACTTGAGCCGGAGAGGAAGATGAGGAGATGAGTTGGAGAAGATGATGTTGGAGTTGAGGGGTACAAGTGGAAGACAAAGCGAGATAAGAAAGACAAAAGTACTTTCGAAACGCATAAATGGAAAAACTCAGAATAGGAGCACCGAGCACATGACTCTTATAATGAAAAAACTTGAGGTTTTCCCTAAAATATTACTCCGTACTATTAAAATAGTCATGGCAAATGTGTGACTTAATAAATTTTACTTGTTATAATTGTGTTCAAATTAGAGCATAGTCACTACATCTTAGTAATTTTGAAAACAATTATAGTCACTAAAAATTATGAAGTCGGGTTTTTGTCCACCACTTTTTCAGGAGATTTAATATTGGTGGAATTTTTTCATAAAACTTGTTAACTCGACAAATTATAAATTATTGAAGAAAAAGTAATATTTTAGTCTTTTTTCTATATTTTAGTCTTATCTAGGACAAATTATAAATTATTGAAGAAAAAGTAATACTACATATGTACAAGTAATACAACTCGAGCCATCCTTTGGGTCTCATTTTCTTTGGATCCCTTAATGACATCATATCATATCCAAAAAGCAAAGGGTACAAGATACTTAGGGCCTGTTTACTACAGAGATATTTTCCTGTTTTCTACTTCTGTTTTTCGTTCTCCAATTTTCTGTTTTTATTTTTCAGTTTTTCTATCTCTAATTTTCTGTTTCTATTTTTTAGTTTTCCATTTTCAAATATGAAAACATGTTCATCAATTTTTTCACACGGTTCTCCAATTCCACACCCTTGACCCCTACCTCTACCCTTACCACGATCTTACACTCTACCCATACTCCACCACAACCCTTCGTACCCACCCATACCTACTCGTAGGGGTCGGGTAAGGAAGTTATGGGTGGGGGTAGGGTAAGGGGTATGGTCGGGGTGGGGTGGTAAGGTCTAGGGGTAGGGGGTTGGGTGGGGGTAGTGGGTGGGTTAGGGTCGTTGTTAGGGTTAAGGGTGGGGTAGTGGGTAGGGTTGGGGTAAGGTAGGGGTAGGGTAGGGAGTTGGGATATGATGGCGGTAGGGTGGGGTCGGGACTAGGGTGGGGCCGGGGTAGGGAAGGGGTAGGATGACGGTAAGGGTGGGGGGTAGTGGATGGGGTTTTGGGTTGGGGTAAGGTAGGGGTAGGGTAGGGAGTTGAGATAGGATGGCGGTAGGGTGGGGTCGGGACCAGGGTGGGGCCGAGGTAGGAGGCATGTGGTAAGGGGTAAGGTAGAGGTAAGTGGTAATATACGAGGGGTGGGGGTAGGGTAGGGTGGGTCGGGGTGGGGTCGAGGTGGTAGGGGGGTGGCGGGTAGGGTAGGGTGGATCGAGGTGGGGTCGAGGTGGTAGGGGGTGACGGTAGGGTAGGGTGGATCGGGGTGGGGCCGAGGTCGGGGCATATGGTGGGGGTAAGGTCATTATAGGGAAAAATGGGTACGCGGGGTGGGGGTTGGGTGGGTAGGGTAGGGTAGGGGTAAGGGGTAAGGTACGAGGATGGAGGTACCGGAATGGAATCGACATCGGAGCGGGACCAGACCCACCACTAGGTGTAAGTATGCAAATTCATTGCAAAGGCACTGTAGCATCTGCGTTTTTCCAAATTTGGAAAACTAGTAAAAGTCACTTCTCCAAATCATTAAGAAAAAGAGAGACATGTTTCATTTTTTTCTGTTTTGGAAAACGATTTGGTAAACGCGTTTTTCTTTTTTCCTTTCTCCAGTTTTCCAGGAATTTCTTTGGTAAACACGTTTCCTGTTTTCTGTTTTCCAGCTTTCCAGTTTTCTGGAAAACTGGAAAATATTTCTGTTAGTAAACAGGCCCTTAGGTTTTTAGAAAAGGTGTTTGTACACATAATTCATACACATAAACGGTACACATTCTCTAATTGTCTTGTAAACAGGCAATTTGTTCAAAAGCGGCCTGTGTACACATGCAATTAAGAGTGTGTACACAAAATGTGTACAACTTATGTGTATAATAACAAGAATGATCATACCTTTTTGTATAGATATTCAAAATCCTTTGCATTGATAGATTTTGTATAAAATTAAGCCACCAAATAAAAAATATTGTCAAAAAATCCAATTCTACACACAATAAACGCATGGCACAAACGAAAGTTGTTTTAGATAGGGCAAAAAATTTGTAAACTTCATGAACAAATTTTCAAAACCTTTGCAGATAATATTTTTTTCCTGTTCTGTATCCTACAAAAATTATTGGTTGGAAAAATCCAATTTCACCAGTCATACTCATATGTTTCTGTCGTAGATAAAAAATGTGCCAGACAGGCCAAACAAATCATACGAGCCGGAGTACTTTTTTACACATTAGAAATCCTTCACACAGACAACGTTTATTGGCTAAGTAGCCACATACAAAAAATGTCAATTGAAAAAAATCCAATTTTAGAAACAATAAATGTCTCACATTGAAAAAAGTTTTTGTCAATAATTTTAAAATCCAATTTTAAAATCCTTCACATTGATAATTTTGTCTGTATAATTAGGCCACAAACAAATAATGCAATTGTTATTTTCTTTAAAATTGTATTTTTCTGACTATCATTTTTGTCTATGACCTAACCTTATAAACAAAAAATTTTCGGTGTGAAGGAATTTGGGAATGTGTACAAAAAACATAAACGTTTTTACTGTGTTTAAAACATTTTTGTTTTTGCCAAACATCTATTTATATCCACATAGTGTATGTGGTGTTTTTTATATGCAAAATGTCGTTATGACTTATGACTAGTGCAAAACTAGACTCTAAGGGAGTGTTTGGTTCAAGGTGATATCTTATGCATGGCGGAATCTCATGTCCGGAATGTGAGATACCTGTGTTTGGTTCGCGGGTTTGATTTTTTCTTTTGGGAATGTTACATTCCCAAAAGTGGAAAAAGTGATCACATTACCAGGCATGTCAAACCCACCAATGCCTTAGGTTATGTTAGATTCCTGATGGCTTATTAATTTTCTTCCAAAAAAACCTATGCTTCATTAATCGAAATATCTAGATGTGGACTGGGCCCAGTCCGATTCCGGTTCCAGGTCGGGCCCGGAAGGGCTTGGCTTTTTGGGAATGAAGCCCTGGACCGGAACGGCTGTTGACCAGTACCGGTTCGGGCGGTCTACCCGCCCGGGTAACGGGCCGGGCCGGGTACATTTTTCTAATTCATGTCTAAAAAATAATTCAAGAAGTGCTACATATAAAAACTTAAAGTATATTTATTTGAAACATGAACTACAATTGAAAATTGAGAAAAAAAATTAAAACATGAAATACATTTTCTAATAATTGATAAATTTAATGTGTTAAGAGACAAATATATAAAGGACATTCAAGTAATTCACCAAATATGCAATAAAAGATATCATTCAACCAAACAACTTAATGTGACATTCCTTAATCGGAACCAAACACAAATAGGCTATACATTAATCACATTCCCGTCTATCTAACATACCCAGTAATCTAACATTCTCATGGTTATCTGACATTCCTTAAACCAAACATACCCTAAAGTGTACTCCGAATTTTTTTTGAAAGACGAAAGTGTACTCCGATTTAAGAATTCTAATCTGACAAAGGGTCGTCTCTCTAGGGCTAGCCGCCGCTAGAGGCTGTTCTTCCGTTTTCGATTTCGATCGAAGAACGGCTTAGGCTTCGTATCGATCTCGCAGGCGTGCTCGCAAGGCTCAACAAGTGGTCTAGGTACGATTTGGGGTTCGTCAGGCTCCGGTTACTCGGTGGCTTTTATCTTTGGTTTCGGCCGAGAAGGAGAGGAGGGGAAGGATCGAAATAGGGGGGCGCTTTAGATAGATGATATCGTCAATAACTAGAAGATGCTATTGGAGAGGAAGACAATGAACTCGATTTTGATGAGGAAGAAGCAGGGGAGATGGATGCTGCGAACGAGAAAATGGAATTTCCGGTGGTCAGAGTTGTGCTTACGGACCGGAAAATCAAACTTCCGGTTTTCAAAGATCTGTTGGCTTCAATTTGGTGCCCTGGAAAAGGAGTTGCCATCAAGGAGATCGGAGATAAAAGGTACCTTTTCAATTTCTATCATATTATGGATATGAATCGTGTGTTTGAGGATGACCCTTCGTTGTTTGAAAGATATTTACTTCTCTTGAAAGCTGTTCAGCCAGATGATATAACTGAAAGGATGAATTTGTATGAGTGTGACTTTTGGGTACAGGTTCACAATGTTCCTTTTAAATTTAGGAATCTGGGTTCTGCTAGGAGAATTGGGAACTATATTGACACATTTATTAGTTTTGATAAGAACCAATTCGAGGGAAAATGGAAATCTTACTTCAGAATTAGAGTATGTATGGATGTGAAAACCCCTCAAGAACGACACTAATTTGAAGAAATAAGGAATTGGACATTGGGTAGATTTTAAATATGAAAAACTACCCAATTTCTGTTTCATGTGTGGGGTGATTGGGCATTCAGATAATTTTTGCCACTTGAAATATGAGGAGGAAATTGTACTAGAAATCTTTTGGGGTCGAGCTCAAGGCTGTTGGAGGGGTGAAGACTAGCCCAACAGAGACTAACAAGTGGCTAGTGGATGACTCCTCAAGCTCGGGGGGATCAGGCAGCAGCGGAAGATTGATCTCGGGAGTGAAGGAATAGGGGCACAAGATCGATGCGAGTACTCGGCATAGAGATGTACACGTGTGTCAAAGAAGGGTGGGATAGGTGACACGGAGGAGATGCTAGGGGAGACAAAATGTAGGAGGATTTAGGAAGGCCAGTCAAAAGGGGTTACAGTTGGTGAGGATATGGCGCTTGATGCGTCAAAAAATGGGGAGGCGGTGGGTTAGGACTCCTAGACCCGCTGATGGTACACTTATGATGATTATGCTCAGGAGAATGAGTGTTGGTGTTTATTTTATTGTGTTTTGCGTTATTTTTTCCATGATCAGACAATTGTGTTTTGTTTCTACTCTTTTTTATGATGTTAAACTCTTGCATTAGGTATGGGGATAAGAGGTCTACGGTAATCGTCGTTGTCTTAATTATGCCCAAGTTAAGACTAGCGAAATTGCGAAATATATTACTTTGTCAAAGATGATTAACTCAAGATCTCGTCCAAGAGCAAATGATTATATATTGTCCTTTTGTTATCTTACACACTATCGAAATGCTATCTTATCAATAGAAGTCCCATTTGATAAAAAAAAGTGTACTCCTATTTATAAGAATGCAGCCTGACGGCAGTCACATGGGAGAATTGCAAATATTTGCAATTGATAAAAAGTTTACATCAAGGTAAAATGTAAATTGTGAATGTACGTATGGTCTGGATTGGGGGTCACGGCAGTCACATGGGAGAATTGCAAATATTTGCAATTCCAATAGTTTTTTGTTGTACACTTGTACTCGTTATTAATCCTGCAATTTTACTCAGTTGCAAATTTGGTCCTCTAACTAATAATTATTACCGCCGCCCCATTTTATGTGTCTTAGTTTGACTCAGCACGATTATTAATGAAGTGATTGAAAAAGTAATAGTTGTGATTGAGGTTTGAGTATAATAAAGTGAAATGGTGTAGATCACATATTTCTTTTCAAGAAAGGAAAGGAGACACTTATTTTGAGACAACCCTAAAAGGAAAGTAGAACAGGTAAAATGGGACGGAAGAAGTATTTTCAATTCAAGTACTTTTTCGCCAGAAAGTATACTTTCTTGCCATAAATTCGCTGGAAAAGATGTTGCCGTCATCAAACTGTGCCGATACTTTCCCGTGGAAAAGCACGTGAATCGCTGTCTGCAGAGATCTATTAGTTACAGAACAAATCCACATTCAAACAAGTAAATCAAGTAAAGTTACAAGAACTAATAACTGACACAGCCGAGCCAAAAATTTCCATTGCAATTTTGGCTATTGAGTAAGTTCATCACACAGCGACGGTGCCATTTTCTATGTTCTATACGGAGTATTTGAGAGGAATAAAAACTTACCCGATCGCCCCAAGAAAAATTAGTGTATACAACTTGAGCAATACTTTGGCAGTGTCCTTTTCTTTAGATGCCTCACGACACCATATCCAAACGGCAAAGCCTAATGCTATAGCAGAAGCTACCACATGGCATATCGCTGCTAGTACACTCGCATCCCAAACCGAGTCCCAGTCATCATCATGCTTCACCTATTCATCATACATTCCAATATCATGCACCCAAAACAACATAAACACACACATTTATATTCTACCTCCATCCCTTTTTATTTAGCCAACAACTTTTCAAGTCAAAGATGATAAACTTTGATCCATTATTTTAACTAATATATATATGTAAAGGTTAATAAATTTATAATTTTATGATAGTACTAGTGTAACACCCGGGGCATGCCCCGGTAGTGTCACTGTGATATGAATTAAAATGATAAATATCAATAGTGATCATTAATTATTTAATTAAATTATTGAAAATACATGTTTACTGATACTTTTTTAGAAATTAGAAACATGATTTTAAATAATTTTTGTGTATATGGTTTATTATTATTATTATTGTTATTGTTGTTTTTGTTGTTGTTCTTAATTTTACTATTTTTATTACCATTACTATCACTATCAATATCACTGTCACTTCAATGTCACTATTACTATTGTTATTTCTATTATTATTACTTTTATTATAATTATTATCACTATTACTATTATTATTGCTATTGTTGTTATTATTATTATTATTATTATTATTATTATTATTATTATTATTATTATTATTACTTTTATTATTATTAAATTACTATTATTATTATTACTATTACTATTATTATTATTTGTTATTACTATTGTTATTTATATTATTATTACTTTTATTACTATTACTATTACTATTATTATTATTATTATTATTACTATTGTTACTATTATTATGATTTATTATTATTACTATTATTATTACTATTACTATTATAATTATTATTGTTTTTTATTGTTATTTTTAATTATTATTATTACTATTATTATTATTATTATTATGATTATTATTATTATTATTATTATTATTATTATTATTATTATTATTATTATTATTATTATTATTATTATTATTATTATTATTATTATTATTATTATTATTATTATTATTATTATTATTATTATTATTATTATTATTATTATTATTATTATTATTATTATTATTATTATTATTATTATTATTATTATTATTATTATTATTATTATTATTATTATTATTATTATTATTATTATTATTATTATTATTATTATTATTATTATTATTATTATTATTATTATTATTATTATTATTATTATTATTATTATTATTATTATTATTATTATTATTATTATTATTATTATTATTATTATTATTATTATTATTATTATTATTATTATTATTATTATTATTATTATTATTATTATTATTATTATTATTATTATTATTATTATTATTATTATTATTATTATTATTATTATTATTATTATTATTATTATTATTATTATTATTATTATTATTATTATTATTATTATTATTATTATTATTATTATTATTATTATTATTATTATTATTATTATTATTATTATTATTATTATTATTATTAATATTATTATTATTATTATTATTATTTTCCTTAAAGTTTTTCATCTAAATTTGATGAAGAAAATGTTCTAAAAATTATATAAAAAACTTTTGTCGAGAAGGACTCCAAATGGCCTCGGCTCAAGTCGATTCCCTTCAACCTGGCTTGATGAGAACGCTACGCTCCACAAATTCTACTTTATAAATCTGCTATAACTTAAACTGATTTGTCTTTTCACCACTTAAAAGCAGGGGCGGATCCAGGAATCTGAGATGCCCTGGGCTGAATAGAAGTTATACTAGGCTTAAATATTAGCGGAGTGGGCTAAATAGTAAAAATGAAAAAAATACACTAAAAAATTTGAAAATTTGCTAAGTTGCACTGGGCTTCAGCCTACCATAGCTGCCGTACATAGATCCTCCCCTGCTTAAAAGTAACTTGGAAGAAGTAATTAAGTTGATTTACGAACATTATCAAAGAGTGACCAGTGTTACACGTAGATATCAATAAATCAATTATGTTTTTTTATTTAAGATTCTTGGGTGCAATCATATTGCAGTATTGCACCATGGAAAACGGTTAGACGGGTAAGGTATCACTTATTCTTTAGAATATGAACCTTCTAAAAGTCTTTAAAAAGTTTCTAGTTATATGTTTGGCATGACAATTTTTAAGAGCTTTTAAAAAAATAAAAGATTTTTTTTAGATGCTACAGGCAGTAGCATCTGAAAAAAGCCCGTGGCTTTTAGTATTAATTAGCCCTAACAGCTTGTATACCAAACCGAACTAAATCAAACAGTCAGCTTTTTATCAAACAGCTACCACATTTTCCTTTTAAGATCTTTTCAGTCACCAAAATCTAACAGTTATTAAAAAGCTCACAAAAGTATCTTTTCATCTAGTTGTGCCAAACATACCCTACATGATAGAAGATGAAAGCAAGAAGTGTTGTATTGTAATTGGAGAGTGTTCATTTTAAATTAATCATGTACCACGTTAGTTCATTTGAGTTTATTTAATGGTAAAATATCTGTATGGGTTAACTTAACATGGCAGGCAACGAATTAGTTCACGATAATTCCGTCACTTTAGTTCCGTGTATTAATCCAATTGTAATGTTTGTGTTGTAGTATAATTCCGTCACTTTAATTCGGTCAATTTAATTGATTTCGTCGCTTTAATTGTTTTAATATAGCATTGTTAATATTAATTTTGTTAACCAATAGGAGAGTGACATGTCAGCTGTTTATAACTGTGTTTTTACTATATAAAACAATAGATTTTCAACAAAGAATATTTTCATATAATTTTCATATTATCAATATTACCGTGTATAAATATATAATCGGTCAAAGTTGAACAACTTTGACTTGAAAAATAGTGTTTGGCTAAATAAAAAGGGACAGATGGAGTATATGATCAGTGACGGATTGAGACCGTCAGGTCAATTAAGTTGGGCACTACTCTGTTTTCTCTAGTCCATATAGGGTTTGCAACAAGTAGATTGATTAGTATCTGTTCCAACCGATGCACGTGTATTGACCGAACCAGCTCAAGGGTCTTGAAGGGGTACATAATAGGAAAGAGAAGGTTTCAGGCAAGACGGGCGGTTTGCTGGCGGTCTCTGACAAGGTGGGAAGCAGAAACATATACGGAGTATATACATATATATAGAGTCCTTTTCTAGCTAGTCAGGCATGCCTGACGGAGAGCTACGTGCGGACTTGCCCGTGTGAGGGTCTTTCCGGTTAAATTTTTTGATGATTTTTTTTGAGAATGTTCCTCATCTAGTATATACATACCAAATTTCAGCCCAAAATGCGATCGACAAGACAGTCAAATAAATTCTTGAAACATACTGCGCTTTATATATGCGCAGAATGCGCAGTATGTTTCAAAATTTTATTTTACAACCTTCTTGATCGAATTTTCAGTTTAAATTTGGTATGCATAAACTAGACTTGATGACAAATATGCTCATAACATTTCATCAAAAAATTCAACCGGGGAAAACCCTCAAACTGGGAAGTCCGCATGGTGCTCCCTAAGCTATCCGAAATTTTCAGACAGAACCACCGCCCGGCAACCTCATTCTGAGATCATCTCATTTTCAGGTTGTTGCGGATGGAATTTATTGATGAAAATATGAATTTTTTGAGCATTATCTCTTTGAAGTGTAGATTATGCCCACAAATTTTAGCTGAAAATTCAATATCGGCAAGAAATTAAATAAATTTTTTAAGCTAATTGTGCCAAAATATACATTAAAATAGCAGTTATTTTCAAATATTTATTTCATTGTCTTCTCGATTGAGTTTTGATATAAAATTTGATAGACATAATTTACCTTTCATGAAAAACATGCTTAAATTAAAAAAATTCATAAAACGTACAATTCCACCCAAAACCACCTCAAAATGATGTGGTCGGACGGTGGTCCTGTCCGAATTTTTCGAACATGACCTGCGGTAGTTCTGCCACCGGAAAAGATCAGGTCCCTCCGGAGGGACCGAAGCCGCCGTCCGAACTCCGCCGTTTGGGGCGGTTCCCGGTGGAATCTTTTGATGAAATTTTTTGAGCATGTTCCTCATCAAGTCTAGTTTGTCCATACCAAATTTCAGCTCAAAATTCTATCGGGAAGGTCGTCAAATGATTTTTGCAAGTTTACTGGTCCGGAATATGTATTTTCCGGACCAGTTAACTTGTAAAAATCATTTGACGACCTTCCCGGTCGAATTTTGAGCTGAAATTTGGTATGGACAAACTAGACTTGATGAGGAACATGCTCAAAAAATTTCATCAAAAAATTCCACCGGGAACCGCCCCAAACGGCGGAGTTCGGACGGCGGCTCCCCGTCCCTCCGGCTGGACCTGATCAGCTCTCATCCACTATTCACATCTATGGATTATAGGATTAATTTCCAACACAATAAGATAATTCTAATCAATAAAATATATTACTACTTCCAAGTTCCATCCCATGCATATAAAGGTTCTCATTTAGGATTTAAGTGTATTTTTTTAGTGCACAATCCTTTTTATTTGTTTATATTATTATTAATTATTATTAAACTGTATTACTCGCCTCGACATGATGAGTACATATATTGTACAACCGGCTGTACGGTGAGCACCGTACAGCCGGTCCAAAAACAGGCCCAAGAGAAAAACAGCAAAATAATTCGGTGGCATTTTTGTAATAATGTGAAAATCGCGGTTTCTACTAAATGAGCATTAGTGTACTGTTAATGAGCAATAGTCCAATGTTAATGAGTATTAAACATCTAATAATGAGCACCGTGTTATTACAAGAAAGCTGATATCACAACTAAAAAACGGTGGCATTTTCGTAATTTCAGTGAAAATCGCGGTTTTCGTTATATGAGCATTATTACACTTTTAATGAACATCAGATATATGATACTGAGCATTAAGAGTCAAATAATGAGCATTGTGATCTCTTCTTCATATCTGCTAATTCACTTTCCTTTTCTTTTTAATGAGCATCAGACGTATTCTATTGAGCATTAAGAGTCCAATAATGTGTATTGTGATATCAATTTCATATATTGTAATTCACTTTTTTTTTATTATTTTTTCTTTTATAAAACTTATTAAATTATATCTATAATCAATTCCTATGAATTTCAATATGCGAATCTAATGTAATATGGTACTTTTGAAATATGTATTGTTATGACATTTTAAAATGAGCATAACATGAGTACCAATTGAGCATATGTAACTTACAAAATGAGCGTAAATATGAAAGTAACAAGGTTTGTTAGTTGGACGTCACAACATTTTCATTGAGCATCAACCTCCTATATGTATTGAGTTGAAAATAACGTTTTCTGTTAAATGAGTATAATGAACTTTTAATTAGCACTAGACCTATTATATTGAGTATTAGGGGTTTAATTAATAGTAAGCATCATAATATCTGCTTCGTATCTTTTAATTCACTTTCTTTTTATATTTTTTCTTTTATAGAAACTTAATAAATTATATCTACAATCAGTTCATATGAAGTTCAATATGTGAATCTAATGTATTATGATACTTTTGAAATATGCATTGATATGACATTTTAAAAATGAGAATAACATCAATATCGATTGAGCATATGCAGCTTAAAAAATAAGCATTAATATGAAAATAATAAGCTTTGTTAGTTGAGCATCAAGACATTTTTCATTGAGCATTAAACCTCCTCTATTGAGTATTAAAAGCATGCAATTGAGGCCGATTGAGCATTCATAAATTATAAAATGAGCATTAGTATGTCAATCATAAGTTTTTTTAAGTTGAGACTTGAGAGAGCATCAAGACGTTTTCATTGATCATCAAATCTCCTCTATTGAGTATTAAAAACATGCAATTAAATATCATGGTCTGTGCTCTCATATCTGTAATTAACTCCTACTTGAATCTAATGTAATATGTTACTTTTGAAATACGCATTGATATACGTAGTAACATTTTAATATGAACATAACATCAGTATATGAGCAATGATATGAAAATCATAAGCTTTGTTAGTTGAGCATCAAGACATTTTCATTGAACATCAAACCTCTTCTAATGAGTGTCTGAAGCATGCAATTGAGTATCATGATCTCTGCTTCCATGTATATAATCTAACTCTTATGCGAATCTAAAATGATACTTTAGATTTTAGAAATATGCATTAATATGACATTTTAAAATGAGCATAAAATATGTACCACATAAACATATGCAACTTATAAAATGAGTATTGAATATAATAATTTTAAATTAGAAATAATTTATAGTATTTTGTTCTTGAATTACAAATATAATCATGTTGTTTTTATTATATTTACTCATACACATTTATTTTACACTATACTCATTTTAGAAGAACACAAAACTCATGTTAGTAATTAACACATAATATTTATAAACTAAAAAGATTCATCTTAAAATTAAAAATAGATGAACAAAACACTAATACCTAAAATATCTTATAATGCAAAAATTAAAAAGAAAAACTTAAATTAGAAGTTGATTGGAAAAAGAAGAAAAATCAAACTCAAACATTAATCAAATTTTAGATTATACATTTACATAATAATAAAAAAAGTAAAGCATGTTAAAGAAACAAATAGAGAAAAGAAAGAACTAAAAAAGAAAACAACAAATGAAATGAAACTCAAAAGCCACGTAAAAAGTAAAAAGCAAGAAAGTGAAAAGCAACGACAGAAAAGAGAAAACAAAAAAACAAACAAGAAAAAAAGAGGAGTTATCATTAAAGCCGTAGCAGCCATCAGATGAGAAATAAAAGAGTATGGCATGCCGCGGAAAATATGAAACAGCAGTGCAGAAGGAGAACCTATCTATTACCCTACGTGTTATGACTAATTACAAAAATGCCGATTGTACCTTCCTCTTGGTACAGCCGATTGTACCTTATAATTTACCCGACATGATTGTAATTATTAGTATTTGCTATTTGTAATGGTATACAATAACATTATGAAGGGGGGAAATTTTGGGGTCCCCAAAAATGGTGGGCCCCGTTCAAAAGAACATAATGAACTTGTCAAAGATGACTCCGGGAAGGACTTAATTAACTTTCACATTGATTGAGAGAATAATGTTAACATTATATTGTAAATCAATTAATTTGGGACGGAGAGAATAGTGATCAGAGTATTTATTTACCTTCTTTAGTGCAAGGGCCCAAAGAGTTGCACATGCTATAATCTCGAATGTCATGACACTACCAAGGACACAAAGAGCGGATCTCTTTCTTACATTTGAAGACATTTTAATTGAATATATATATAGAACGGATGGGGGGGGGTAATTAGACGGTAATGTATCGATCGGTTCAAATAACTACTCCGTAGTAAATTAAAATGAGTAGTAGTTAGTCCATCGATGGATACAGTGGCGATCGATCTGTCTTTGCTCGAGTGAGAATGATATATACTGGAGCCTGGAGGTCGGCTAGAGAATGAAAGTCGTCAATTAGCAATACTCATAATTACGATCATGTCGAGGCGAGTAAACACAAACAGCAGTCAAACTACGTTAAACACCCAAAGGCCAGACAGCATGCAAATTTCCAGGTGACCTTTATCCATCAATATAACGCGTAAGTTTGTTCTATGAAATACATATGCAATTACGTCTTATGTCAGTTACGTGGCATGTTTGGTGGACATGTTTTCAGTTACGTACACTTGTTTGATATTTTAACTCCAATCAGACCAGGCCAAACCTAAATAGAACTGATCATACTAGACTTAATTAACAGATCAGACTAGATTAGACCAGACTTTGACAGTTATAGAATACACAGAGACCAGATATTTACCAGACCAGACCAGACTAGATCAGATCATACCTGACTTAAACATACCAGACCGAAATCAGATCAGACCAGACCAAAAAATTCCAATGCAATTAAAAACATCCCAAGTCCGTAGCTTCTATCGTTTTAGACCATTAGTGCACAATAAGTGTGATGTTATATGCATGGCAAACTATTTTGGACAGTTCCTATACCGTGGGATCATCCCACGGTGAGCATCGTGCTCCACACCTGAAACGACGCAGTTTTGCAGTGTTCTTTTTTTAATTTCACGCGTGAACAGTACACGCGTGAACAGTAACTATTTTTTTGTATTTCAGTAGCAGAATGATGTAACTCGTATATAAAGAAATGTAACTTACGTGAATAAAAATATTACTGCAACCAAGACAAAATGTAACTTATCTAAAACATTGATTTCAATGTAAACAATAAAAAAGAACCTAAATAGTGAATAAATTTTATTTTTAATATTAAGACCATTCAATGTTTTAACGAAATCATTTACCCCCTGCCCAAAAAAAAAACCTTTCAACTTGATTTTAAAAAAATGTTTATTTTGTTTCAATAAAGGGGGTTTGTTTTGTGATGTAACTCGTGTTATGGAAAATGTAACTCGCGTTGATAAAAAATGTAACTCACGTTTATGCAAAATGTAACTTGCTAAGACAAGTCCAAATGTAACTCGCGTACATGAATGATGTAAATCACGAGTAAGAAGATGTAACTCGCGAAACAAAAGATGTAACTGCATGTATTTTCAAATGTAACTTGAGCCAAATCAAAATACAAATTGTCCAATACAGTATAAGATGTGTATGTGTGTGTGTGTACTACGTATTTATGTGTATGTGTATATATATATATATATATATATATATATATATATATATATATATATATATATATATATATATATATATATATATATATATATATATATATATATATATATAGAGAGAGAGAGAGAGAGAGAGAGAGAGAGAGAGAAAACTTCATGTCAGGCCGGCCTGACGAGCTGCCCTGTCCGGCCGAGCCCGTTTGGGCACCTTCCCGCTGTAATTTTTTGATGAAATTTTTTGAGCATGTTCCTCATCAAGTCTAGTTTTTCCATACCAAATTTCAGCTCAAAATTCAATCGGGAAGGTCGTCAAAAAAAATTTTCAAGTTAACTGGTCCGGAATATGTATTTTCCGGACCAGTTAACATGCAAAAATCATTTGACGACCTTCGCGATCGAATTTTGAGCTGAAATTTGGTATGGACAAACTAGACTTGATGAGAAACATGCTTAAAAAATTGCATCAAAAAATTCCACCGGGAAGGTGCCCAAACGGGCTCGGCCGGACGGGGCAGCCCGTCAGGCCGGCCTGACATGAAGAGCACTATATATATATATATATATATATATATATATATATATATATATATATATATATATATATATATATATATATATATATATATATATATATAGACACACATACATATATATATGCTACGTATATTAACTTCTAAATAACTTCTAAGTTCCTCATGCCTTTGCCAGCAAAAATATATACTACGTCCATTAACTTGAGATCCCAGGGTTTGCGATCTTCTCCGAATCTCCCATGTCTTTCTTGCAAAATACGCAGTAATCAACTTTTGCTAGTTGGCTCTCGCAAGTCAAGACACCAGGCCAGGAAGAACTGCCGCACCCTAGATTTCCTCTATGTTGCGTAACGGAGTTGGCGGACAGTGCGGCACCAGTCATCCCTCACGAACAAGAATCAGTTGTTTTTTTAATTAATAAAACTATGTCGTTTGGGATCGGCATACTATGCTCATGGTGGGCCGATCCCACAATATAATTTGCAATTTTGGAAGGAAGGCTGAAACACAGATATACACTCGAATACAGCACACCACTGTTGCACTGTTCTCCCCAACACAAAACTCTGGCCAACTTTTATTAACTCTCTTTGTTCCAATTTGTTGGAGCACTCTATTTAGTGCTAAATACAGTTGTTCGTCGGCCATTGTATCCTGGAAAACTGACGCTCCGATCCAATGTTCCTACCACCATGAGAGGGAACAAATTGGTTTTAAGGGCATTGTGCGTTGCACGAGCTTTGGCTGTACCTTTAATTTGACAGTTTTCCCTTTTCTATTCTCCTATAGCTATGGTTCAAGGTAGAACTTTTGCAAATCATTACAATACTACAAAAAGGGTTATTTGTCCGTGTTGTGGTATATTCCTCGGGATCCAAAGACCCCACAGTGCTTTGGCTTTCGTCGGAATTCCATGGTAAGTATGTGATTTAAGGCAATAAAGAAGCAAGAGAAAACAAGTAATTAGAGGAAAAGTGGATCCAATTCTATTGAAGTCTATAGAACGATTACAACACTTATGCCGAGCGGCGCTCCGACCCTCTAGACTAAGCTGAATGCTACAGAATAAACTAGAGATAAGTCTAATGCTTGAGAATGCAAAGTTCACAATCCTTCACATTGAAATAAGTGCTGCTATTTATACTACGAGTGAGTAGGTAAAGGGGGTGATGTGGCCAACCCTGAGTGGATGAACCCAAACCATAAAATCTTCCACATCTGATGCATTAAATACTCTTCCCGCCAATTCTGAGGTCTCCCGATAATTGCTTGGGGGTGTTCTGGTACGAGCAGCTGCTGGATTGAGTAGAGGAGCCCAAGTAACGGGAATGGGCCGTACATAAATGCCTATGCGGAGCTGCCGAACGCCGATCCCAAACTGACTGCCCTTGACGATGGCCTGCATATGACTTGGGCTTCTAGGGATATTTTAGCCTGTATTGGGTCAGGGGCTAATATCCCTACAGTCCGGTTGGCTTTTTGTATTTAAACAATTTATTTATGCGTAAATATGTACTTTATGTTTATTTGATTCTAATATAGTGTTTGTAGCAAGTGGGAAATGTGATGAGATTCATGTATGGCATTATATTATATCTTTCATGTAAAAGAAACTCGGTAAACAAGGTTTGGTTTTTAGTAATATGTATCTTCAAATAATTGATATTTGTAATAAACATTTCAATTATATTCTGTAGTTGTTGATTTTTATTTTTTTAACACGGTAAGTCTCCAAGACCCGAGGGTCCTGGGGTGGGGCCCAGGGAACATCCCACCAATTTATTATGAAAATGTTAAATAAAGATAGTAGGAGGACCAAACCAAAGCCTACTCAGAAATACAAATAAAAACTATATGTAATATAAGGAAAGCTAGTAGCATCAAACTTTAAAATGCCCATAAAATGATTGAAATGATGAGTATTGGTTTTAATAGACATGCAACGGTATGCAAGAAAATCAGCTGCCTTGTTGATGGTTGGGTTGACGGGAGAAATGGTCCAGTTATAACTTCCAAGTTTTCTGTGTATGTTTCGGATCTGCGACCAATAATATGTCCAACGTTTTATAGAGATCCAATTAAATCCCGTGAAGTCCTTCGTAGACATTACTATCTTCCACCTCAAAAATGAAATTAAGAGTGTTAAATTTTCTTAGGAGGGGAATAATATAGTCTAAAGCATCATAAATAGCATCAGTAGTATGACCGTGGTGAACCATGTGAGTGGCATGACCCATGTAACTATGAGTACTGTTACGAACAATGGCAGCCGAGCGGATCAAATGGGGGTAATATTACGAGAGGCCAGTGTGCAAATGTAATATGTAGCTTATGAGTGTGGTGTGAATGTGTGGTCTTGTGATAAACATACACAAGACGACCTGGATTTTGTAAGCTAGCTAGAACGATGTGGTGTGAATCAGTGTGCAAATGTAATATGCAGCTTATGAGTAATGACATTAAACTCTCAATGAGAACTTGTAGTGGTGTTTGAATGTAATTCTAAACTTTTATTGGTGTTTGAACGTAATATGATATATGGGGTTTTTAGACTAAATTTTAGCGGGATGATCATCATTTTTTGTGATAGTTTAACATATTTCAGTTCATGTGATGGTTCAAATGTTTGGATGTTTGAAAAGTTGCTAGTGATATTAGCATAGTACAATTTGGACAATATACAGATTCTTTAACAATGTAAAGAAATTACATTTTCACGGCGGTTTTTGTGTAAAACAGACATTAAGTGTCACTCGAGTTCTTAAAAATGGAAGCATATTACGTCAGGTATTTCCAATAACCGACATTAAATGTTATTTACATATTTTTTAAAATGTTTTAAACGTCGGTTATATGATAAAAACCAATGTTAAATGCTACTTATACACGGAATAATTTTTTAAAAACGCTTTGGACGTCGGTTATCGATGAAACCAAGTAACCAACGTTGTAGATAGAATTTATCAATTATGAATAAACATATAACTTTGTATTTGGGCCATGACTATAGTCCATGGTACCATCACTACTAATACTTTAATTTTTCTAAATTGACTCATAATACTAAAGCACACCAAATGTTCAGAAAATTCCAATGGGAATTTTAATTTCTTTTTTGATGATGGACTCATAATAAGAATGCACACTTTAATTTACTGGTGTTGACCTGAATATCACTAACAAGTGGATAATGGATAAAAATGATTTGTTTTTAATTTCCAAAAATGTGACTAATAAGCATTAAGTCTAATAAATTACCCCCAACCCAGTATCATGTGTCACTGCCACCCGCCACCCCGC